CGGCGGCAGCCATCGGGTTGGGAGCGGGGACCGATACCTGCACCGGCGTCATGTGCGGGAAGCCCAGCTCCCGCAGCGCGCCCAGCACCCGAGGGTGCAGCGGCACCGGCAGCGACTCCCAGGCGCCCTCCGTCACGTTCTCCATGGCGGCCACGCCGCCCGCTGTCCCGGCGGCTCGGAACACCCAGGCGCGTACCGCTCACGAGCACTTCCGCTTCCGGCGATTCCGGGGCCGACTGGGAGCCGCGCTCCCGCGACCACGTTCCGCCGGAGGAGCGCGCCCAGCCCAGAGCTGGGCCAGCCGCGGCGGGAGCGGGGCGGGACCGTGGGGAGGCCGGTGTGAAGGCTGACCACCGTGTGCCGCGGCCGCGGCGGTGACCCCGCCTTTCCACACATTAAGGCCCCCTCCTCGGCGCCGGGTCTTTCCTCCAGGTTATTTCCCCCAGTGACTGCTGTTACACACTGCAGTCAAGTCTGTGGCGCGAGTGAACAGCATGAACCTTTAGCATCCTGGAGACTTGGCCTTCAAACTACATACAAAAGCCCAAGTAACGTTTTCACTGAAGAGACGGTCACGTCCCCAAAACCACTGTTAAAATGGATGCCGCGGGGGCACGGGGGCACTGTCGGTAACCCCAGCATGCTGTACACGCAGCAGAAAGAGCTGGAACTTGAAGCCAGCCTGAGCTACATGGCAAGATTATCTCAAAAAACTAAAATAAATTAATATTTCCAGACAGCTCTTTGCGCACCTGTGTGTTTGCCTTTCCTACTGTTTACTATTTCCCTGACCCTGGATTCTTTTCCTAAGATGTTTCTTGTTTCTTAATGATTTTACCCAAGAGATCTGAGGCATAAAGAGGACAACAGGCCATTACACAGGATTTAATGCACAGCAGTTTCTTTGCTTTTACTTTGTGATAGGAACATTTTATGACAGCTTTGGGCAAATAATTTAATCAGGCCTGTTTTCTACATTTAAAATTCAGACAAATGATTGAAAATAATCCAACCTGCCTTATGATGTTAGCAGTGATCCAGAAATACCACACTGGCAAACCCGTGTGGAAACTGAAAAGTTCCTGTTTGCTGAACTCAAACTTAGAGACAAAGAAAACATTTACAGTAGGTATAACTGCTCATAAAACACACACACATTTCGTTTCACATAAGAAAAAGTTGTTTAACAATTGAGTTAAATATCATTAGTATATAAAACACACTATACTGTTTTAAAAAGAATTTGTTTATTTACTGAACCTGGGGCATATTAGATACACAACCAATTTACAACTTTTAATTCAATTTTGAAGTGTTTTCACACACACAAAAAGAAAAACCCATGCAACAGCTGTGCTAAGATGAAACAGTCACCTTATCAATAAACTGTTGCAAGTATATTCACCCAAGGTTGAAAAATTGTCCTAAACATGAAAACCTGTAACAAATTTAAATTAATTATATAAAACTTGTTACTTGTATTCCCCTTGCAAAGATCAAAAAAAACAATGTACAAGTAACTAATATACATCAGTCCCAACATAATCCTGGATGCTGGCTCCACACCAAAAGCAGATGCTCCTTTCAATTTCAAACCATCATCAGAGACCAAGAGAAAGTCTTTGTTTACATAAAACAAAACTCACATGTGCCAAAAAAAAAAAAAAGAAAGAAAAGAAAAGAACAAGACAACCCAGGAGAAACCAGACAAAACCCCTAGTGCTGACACTGATGTTCAGTGCCCTGGTTAGTGGCTCTAAAGACCACTGACAAAAATAAAATAGTGGCTGAGTATCACTGCAAGAAAACCCAAGAGTCTTTAACCTTTTGACATCAGAAATCCAGATTTTTCCAATTACATAAATGCCTACTTTCTATGTGCCCAGAGTGGAGAAAGGGAAGTGCCAGTACAGGAAGGGCAGATGGCGTTTACCTAGAAACCCAGAGAACCAGCTGTAATCGAGACTTTAAGGTTAGGCAGAAACCAAAGAATGGTTTTTAACTGCTGTCAACTTTAGTGGAGGTGATTCAGTCCAAAGATTCAAGGGGAAAACATAAAGGGGGAAATGTTTATCATATTTAACTAAAACACAAGAAAAAGTATGCAAGTATCCATCCTGGTAGCATGAGGCTGGGCAGAAAATGCCGAGACTCAGTGGTGCTGCTTCACACAGTGACTCGTTATGATTGCGCTCTCCTGACGTGAAGCAGAGGCTGAGGGCATCTCACCAGTGCAGTCATTCCAATGAAGGACTGCCAGGCTGTGTGGGACCGCAACAATCTACATCTCATTTCGAAAACCAAAGCAAAGATAGAAAGACTGTGCTCCTGTATTTCATTTACAGTGTTTGAGTTTTGAAAGGACAAGAGGCAGCTTTCAAATAAGCCAATCAAATGCCAAATTTCTGCTATAACTGCCTAAAGATTCCCTCCCCCAATACCTATTAATCAGAAAGGAACATAAGCTGCAAATGTACAGATCAAAAAATGAAAATGTAGAAAATAATGACATTATTATGACCAAGGTGTTGGTAAACAAGTGAATTGAGTTGGATCACCAGGAAAAGGCCTTTAAACAACCCTCCGGACCTCAAAAAATCTCTTCAGGTAGTAGATCTGTCCCAGTGTCATGGCAACTAGAACGAGAGCTTCAAAGAAGGACCAGAGGACCACTCTGCTGTTTGTGTTATCGTTTACTGTAGAGAACAAACATAGAATTAACAACAATCCTCCAAGACAGCACAAATCCTCTCCTAGCCTTTACTCAGAAAGTGGTATGTGACATTCATACACCAGAGACCCCAAGCAACTCTAAAAGCAGCCTTCAAGTGTTACTTACAGCCAAGTATAGAGGTCCACACCAGTAATCTCAGCTACTTAGGAAGCAGAGGCAAGAGGATCTCAAATAAAAAGAGCTGAGCTGGGCACTAGTGGCTCACACGTATAATCCTAGCTACTCAGGAGGCTGAAATCTGAGGATTGTGGTTTGAAGCCAACTTAGGCAATAAAGTCTGTGAGACTCTTATCTACAGTAAACTACTCAGAAAAAGCCAGAAGTTGGCACTGAGGCTCAAGTGGTAGAGCACTAGCCTTGAGTGCAAAGAAGCTCAGGGACAGCACCCAGGCCCTGAGTTCAAGCCCCAAGACAGGCAAAAAAAAAAAAAAAAAGCTGGAGGCATAGCTCACAGGGTAGTCAATCCTCTGAGTATAAGCCAAGCCCACTGCCGCTTCTTTAAGGGAAAATAGGACAGATGCAAACTGAATTGCCCAAAGCAAAACTTCTAGATTTAAAATCCAACCTTTTTCTCACCCATGAAATATCCTTATAATCCTTTTTGCTCAGAGAATTAACTGTAAAAATAAAGGACTAACTTGAAGATCTTCATTACATAATAACCACTATCTCCCAAATCAAAATATGTCAGTCTAAGTATATTTCTCCTTAAATATGTATTCAACAAGTATTTACCGAATACCTACTAAGTAGTTGGGTGTTTGTCCTGGTGGGAGAGGTGCCTAGTCACATGGACCAATACTGATAGTTACTATCAGATAAACTCAACACAAACTATTCTCACTATTTATCTCCTTTTCACCTATAGATCTGATCTAAGGGATAAAGCTATGACTATTCTGTTAGTTTCTGACAGTTGTTTCTATTACTGTTGTTACTGAGCTACTTTTGCTACGTGACTTTCTACAAAAGGCTAAATACTGAAAACAATTTTAAGTAGTAACATAATAGTAATCAACTGAGTAAAAACTACCATATCTTTAGATATATACCATCTCTAAAAAAAGATTAACCAGAGGAAGTGGTGCTGTGGCTCAAGTGGTAGAGCACTAGACTTGAGCACAAAGAGGCTCAGGGACAGCGTCCAGGCCCTGAGTTCAAGTCCCACAACTGACAAAAAAAAAAGATTAGAGCTGGGCACTGATGGCTCATGCCTGTAATCCTAGCTATTCAGAAGGCTGAGAACTGAGGATCATAGTTCAACATAGTTCAAAGCTAGCCAGGGCAGGAAAGTCCCTGAGACTCTTACCTCCAATTAACCACCAGGAAACCGGAAATGCATCTGTGGCTCAAAGTGATAGAGTGCTAGCCTTGGGCAGAACAGCTCAAGGCCAGCCCCAGGCTCTGAATTCAAATCCCATGACCAACATACACACTAGTCTAGCACTGGTGGCTCATGTCTATAATTTTAGCTACTCGGGAGATTGAGAGCTGAGGATCATGGTTCAAACCCAGCCCTGGCAGGAAAGTTCATAAGAATCTTATCTACAATTAGTCAGCAGAAAACTGGAAGTGGAGCTGTAGCTCAAAGTAGTAGAGTGCTATTGAAAAAGCTCAAGGACAGCACTCAGGCCCTGATTTCAAGCCCCACAACCGACAAAAACAAACAAAAAAATGGCTGGGGATGTAGCTCAGTCATAGAGTAGCCTAGCAAGCACAAAGGCATGAGTTCAAAACCCAGTATTCTTTAAAACATAAAGTTTTAAAGCCAAACTTGGAAGAACACACCAATATACAACAGCCTCAGCTATTCAGGAGTCTGAGGCAGGAGAACTACTTGAATACAGGGCCAGCCCGGGCAACATCATAGGAAGGAACAAGCAGGTTACAGTGAGCGCTCAGGAGACTAAAGCAAGAAGATATTGAGTTTAAAGTCAGCCTGGATATATATATATCTATATCTATATATAGATATAGATATATATATAGCAAGACTATTCTATCGCAAATTGAGAGCATTTTGGATTTCAGGTTTTTAGATTAAGGTTTTCAGCCAGTTACATCTATGAAAACATTCAAAAATCTGAAAACCTCTGCAATTTGAAGCATTCCTGGGTCCCAGGCATTTATGATAAGGAATGCTTAACATGTAATCCTTTTAACACGGACACTTACTAATCAACTATTTCTATAACAAACAGGAGTACCTCCACTCAAATTAAGAGGACACAAAGGTTGGACGCGTCTGAGGACTGGAAAACGGGCATTTTCTCTGGTCTTGACATTCTCACAAGCTTTGCATATATTTAAAGCCATCTAGTCTAACATACTGAAACTGCAACGAACACCTTAGCCCTCCGCTTCTGCCTAGTGTCCTCTCACCCCAGAATGACTCTGGCTCCAACATGGAGCAAATTAAACCACCAACGGCTCTGAAGAGTTTCTGCACCAACTTACTGGCTCTGTGTATCCTTTCCCGGACTTCCATGTACTCCTGTTCATGCTTTACAGCTGTCATCGCCACAGCCAGCTCATTAATCATTTCTTCTAGCTTGTTCTGGTGAGCTACAGAAAGATTTGGAAACCCATTAACAGACAGTTGGCAATCTCTTTGGTAAACACAATACAGAAGAAGCCACTTCTAGAAATGGTTCAGCCAGAGTGGCAGATCATGCCTGTAATCCCAGCACTTAGTAGGCTGGCCTAGGCTGTACAACAAGACCTTGTTCCCCACCCTCTCATCCACACACACCCCTCAACACACACATACCCCCCAAACACACACACACACAACCAGGCTCACACCTATAATGCCAGACTGGGCAGAAAAGGTTACTAGACTCCATCTCCAAAATAATCAGAAAATAGTTGGGTTGGAGACATACAATAGAATGCCAGCCTAACAAGTGTGAGGCTATAAATTCAAACCTCAGGACCACCAAAAAAAAAGAATCATATAGCAAAGCCAGACATAGTAGCATACCCCTCAATTCTAGCACTCAGGAGGCTAACGCAGGAGGATCAAGAGCTGCAGGCCAGTCTGGGGTCTCAAAAAAAGAGGATAACCTAGCTGTAATGTTAACTTAGAACAAAACCAACCCCCACTTTTAAACTCTACATAGGGAAACACAAGAAAGACAAGGTTGGGAAAGCCCAGACCACCTCAAAGGTTCTTCTGCAACACAGTGATGCCTCACTGCTGTGGGCACTATAATGACCACAGCTCTCAGCTGCAGGTTTCCAGCCACGTCGTGTCCTCCTTGCCTTCAGGAGAACAGGAGCTCCCGTGGACAAGGATGAACTAGCAAAGAAGGAACAATCTCCCAGGGAGAATCTTTGCCCAACATCAGCCTCACCTGGAATTCCAACTTAGCACAGATCATCCTAACTTAAGAGAAACTCTAGGCCCCACAATTTAAGGTCAAGCAGCCCCCTCACCAGTTTCATGACAGAAGGCTCATGCTCAACACAGAACCTCTGAGTAGGTTTCTCAGGAGTGGTGAGGCTGACATTTCAGAAATCAATGCGCCATGTTTGTTGTGGACACTGTCCAATGCACCAGAAGATGGGCAACAGTCTCCATCACCTCTAGCCCTAGAGGCCAGCAGCACCAACCCACCACAAGCTAGTCCACAATGTCTACTAGTACTGTCAAGTGCCCTCAGGGACAAAATTCATTGCCTCCTTCCCAAGCCCCCTTGAGAACAGCTTCACAAAGCTCATTTTGACAGCTGTCATTCACTGACATTAACAAGCAAAAGCAAGATTAGTTATTATGTTAAAGGACTACTTAAGATGTTCAATACCAGCCAGGGGGACAGTGGCTCATGCCAATTATCCTAACTTCTCAGGAGACTGAGATCTGAGGATCACAGTTCAGAGACAGCCTTGGCAGGAAAGTCCATGAGACTGTTATTTCCAATAAACCACTAGAGAACAGGAAGTGGCACTGTGGCTTAAGTGGCAGTAGCGCTCGCTCGCCTTGAGCTGAAGAGTGCAGGGACAGTGCCCAAGCCCAAAGTTCAAGCCCCATGACCGACAGCAAAAAAAAAAGTCAATACCCACATTCTTCAGCAACTATACTCTAGTCATTTAAATAGAATAAATTTTCAAAAAATGAAGACACACAAAGCCCTGCAAACTCCTAAATCCCAATTAGCCAAGCTCCACTCATAAATGACCCTGGAAAACAATCAATTACTAAGTACAATTCTCTAGATTTTTACAAACCTAACTTTGTCTTCCTATTAGTATTCTACTAAATTGTTCAATATCTGAGGTATACTTCATATGAATACATAGAATTTATTAAACTAAGAGTTTCCAAAAATCCTAGCATATACAATGGGGAAAAGTGCTGCAGAGCCATGAGGTCTGGGGATATGATTCAGTGTAAGACACCTAGCATGCACAGAGCCCTGGGTTTCTTCCCCAACATGGCCAAAGGGTAAAAAAGCAAAGCCACATAAGTGCATAAGGCCTGACTTCAAGCACCTGTGGGTACCTGTGGCTTAACCCTGTAAATCCTAGCTACTCAGGAGGCTGAGATCTGAGGATCACAGTTCAAAGCCAGCATGGGCAGGGAAGTCCATGAGACCCTTACCTCCAATTAACCAACACAAAACAGGAAGTAGAACTGTGGCTCAAAGCAATAGAAACTAGCCTTGAGCAAAAAAAGCTCACAGCACTTAGGCCCTGAGTTTAAGCACCAAGTCCCTCCCCCCAACCCCCAAAAAAGCCAACCGTGTTCTTCCCACTATTAAATAATCTATGCCAAATTTTCAAAAATTCAACAAAAACAACCAAATTAGTTGCAGGGGTTTTTTAAGAGGGGGGAAAACATTCTCATGCCAACAAAGTGAGGTTAAAGGGAAGGAAAGCAGAAATTAGACTTGAGAAAACAAAATGATACAAAAAGCAATCCACATACCATCCCAGGTATCTCCACCACCTAAAAGAAAGTGTAAGACAGAAACAAAAGACCAACAGAAGGTTCAGAAAACTAGTAGTCTATGAATGAGCAAATAAAAAGTACATAGCCATGAGGACTAGCAAGTTCACCGAGCTGTGTGAGACAGTGAACCTGGAGGCTTACAAGGTCACAAAGTGACAAGGAAAAACTGTCAGAAGGGGCAATCCTGAAGAATAAAGCATTCACTTCCAGAAACTTTTGTTAATTAAGAGACTTGCATGAATAAAAAGTACTTTCCACAGAGGGTTTTGGACTTTATGGACAAAGAATAACCACGGAATCAGTACTCTGATGGGGGGATAAGGTGTATGGAAGGTGACGTGCGCCTTACCCTCTGTCTCCATGTCTTGTCCTTTGGGAGCCTCTCCTATATCGATGGTGAACATCACTATCTTTGGAGTCATGGTAGACATCCTATTACTGAAACAAAACTTGTATGTTCCATCCATGTGTGCAGCAAACGTGTACTTCCCACTGGACTCTCGATCTCCTTTATAAATGCCTTTATTATCGGGACCTGTGATCTGGAGGTAGAAGAAAGAAAATTCACAGAACATGTAAAATCACAAACTTTTTTTTTTTTTGGGGGGGGGTTCGGTCGTGGGGCCTGAACTCTGGGCCTGGGCGCTGTCCCTCAGCTCTTCAGCTCAAGGCTAGCGCTCTACCACTTGAGCCACAGCGCCACTTCCAGCTTTTTTCTTTTTGCTTATGTGGTGCTGAGGAATCGAACCCAGGGCCTCAGGCATGCAAGGCAAGCGCTCTACCACTGAGCTACCTTCCCATCTCTAAAATCACAAACTTTAGTAGGAAAATACTAATGGGTAACTCACTTAGCTTCACCTCCTAAGTAGCAGTACATACTTTGGCCCCCACTTGATAGGACAAGAACAGATCCGAAGGTTTCTAAAGCACTTTTCAGCTCTGACTAGTTGTGTCCAACTAACATACCCTGCAGAAAACAGAAGCCACATCTCCCACACCACAATGCCTCGCTGTGGCCCAACACTCCAACAGACATACTCAACTGCAGCTGGTGCCAAAACTCAGAAGACATCTGGGTAATCCTTACAACATCTCATTTCAAGGTTTTCATGATTACTGTCAAATATTGAAGTGTGCTTCTCTGGTATGATGTTATGACTTAAAAGGGCTCAAGACAGATGGGCGCTGGTGGCTCACGCCTGTAATCCTAGCTACTCAGGAGGCTGAGATTTGAGAATCCTGGTGAGAAGCCAGCCAGGGCAGGAAAGACCATGAGACTCCTATCTCCAATAAACTATTCAGAAAAAGCCAGAAGTGGCACTGTGGCTCAAGAGGTAGTGCATTAGCCTTGAGCACAAACAGGCTCAGGGAGACAGCACCCAGGCTGTGAGTTCAAGCCCCAGAGCCAGATAAAAAAAAAATTAAAAAGGGGGCCCAGGCTAGAGATTAGAAGACCCCAGACTACTTCCAAATCAGCTGTTAAGTCCTAGAGTCAAGTCAGTTCCTTTTAGTCCCAGTCACCTATAAAACGTGGAAGACTGGAGGGCCGATCTTGGCCAATGCAAGCAGCCTCTCCTAACTTTTGCCTCACTTGTGTTATGCAATCTGTGCTCAGTTCTACCATCTTAAAACCAACTAGTCATACAAGAAGGCAAAAATCAACTATTGATGTTTGCTTTTTTTATAAAAGGGCGGCAAATCACGTCTTGCTGGAGGGCCTGTTTGGGATTGTATATAAAATGCGTATACACTATACATATACACATATATACTATAGATATGAGTGGAGATCTGGAAATGCTGACTTCTTTAAACGCTTCTGTTTTCTGAATACTTCTCTGAGATTACACTCCCAAGTTAAAACGCAGGACCCGAATCCACATCTCTGCCAGGCAGAACAGGCAAGGGACCATTTTCGGAGAAGCAGACGGGATGCCTAAGATCGTTCCTTCGCACACGTAAGGAAGAAATGACTGCTGTCGGGCCCTCCGCCGCGGCTTCCCGTCTACTTATCCATTCGTTTGCGAAGCCGTGAAGACGACGGGCAGCGAGGGAGACGCGCCTTCGGGGCCCGGAGCCCACACGCGGCGCGGGCTGCTCGGATGCGCCGCCCCGGCCCG